AGGCCCTTACAACTTACACGTAGTACTCTAGACCCTGTCTCTTATACACATCTAGATGTGTATAAGAGACAGTGTGTGGTGTGTGTGTGTGTGTGTGTGTGTGTGTGTGTGTGACGGAAGCAGAGAGTGGATATGAAGGACGGAGCAGGAGGCAGGAGAAGAAGAAGAAGAGCCTCTCTCTCTCCGTGTGATGGAAGCAGAGAGTGGATATGAAGGGCGGAGCAGGAGGCAAGAGAAGAAGAAGAAGAAGAAGAGCCTCTCTCTCTCTCTCTCTCTCTCTCTCTCTCTCTCTCTCTCTTTTGCCCTGATACTGACCAGCAAAAGATCGAATCTTGAGCTGACCTGTGCTGCAGGTTAGAACGCTGTAGCCTGGCGATGGAGCTCCGGCTATGGCGCTTCAGGTGAATCCCCTCTGCCGCAGCACCTCCCTGGCCTCTACTCCGCTGTCCTGCTATCTCAGCTACACCACTCCAGAGGTACTCCTCTGGCGCTGCATCCAAGCAAGCATGCCGAACTCCTAAGACTGCGTGCTGCAACTGAGTGCTGCCCCAGCTATATAGCGCTGGGCCTACTGGGAGCTACCTCGGCCTGTGTTCTAGGCCGTCGGATCAGACCACCGACCCAATGGTCCAGGACACAGGCTCATGTCCTTGTCCTGATGCCCTGCCCAGGTCCCCCCCCCACGTCCAGGCTCCTCTGCTGATGCAGCATACGTATCCTACAAAGAACGAATATTGGGCCAGGTGCTACCCGGCGAAAAAGGCCCAGACGTAACCCAGCTCGGCCTGAAAAGCGGCCACTGGGCCTGAACCAGGCCCAACCAGTCCAACCAAGCCGAAAAGGTGCATCCCCAGTCCAAACGACCCAGGGCTGAAAAGGCCTCAAAAGACTTGGACCGCACAAAAGTCCAAACGACACATCCTGATATACAGGCCTGGGTTGGACAAACCTGGAAACTCTGCTCGTTCAGACCCATTTGGCTGAATGGTCTGATTTACAGGCCTGGGTTCGAAACCTGATGGAATCAAACGAGTAAAAAATAACTCTGCATTACCTTGAGCCCGGCAGTTTGACGATGATACCTCAAGGCTGCCGCCCTCTTATAAAAAATTATTTAAAAGCAAAAACTGCAAACTCCGAAACGACACATCCCCATGCCCCCCCCCTATCCCCTACCTGGCCTATCTAGGCCCAAAAAGGAGGCCATGGTCCTGGGATTCGCCCAAAAAAATGCCGTCCCTGTGGCGCAGGGGGCTGAACTGGTCCGGTGCTGGGCCCTAGCGGAGGGCCAGATTGGAAGCCGTGCATGCCAGAGTACTCCTGGATTTACCCGCCTTAACCTGTCCTTTCCAAATTGGATATTTATTATTTCTATATATCTAGCCCACTTACTGGATGGTGTAAAGGTCTGAAGCAAAGGGAAATAAGGAAAAAAAAACACAAAGATTAACTGCCAAGAGGATCACGAGATGGGATCAACAGTCATTCAACAGGAGAATATGCATGTCTACCATCTTCCCCCGAATAGAACGTCACTGTGATTATGCCTGTATTTGGTTCAAATTGCAGTCTAGATACGGCGACAATGACCATACGTTCAGTCGAGGGCAGACGGTACCCCCTCCCCCCAACTGAAATACGGAGTCTGCATCATCAATGTACGTATTGACAGCCATTTTCTTGTCAGATACGTGCAGTGAATGTGTATGGATTCAAAATGCGTCCATACGTATTGATGGCCTATTTCTTGTCAGATACATGCAGTGAACCTGTGAGGATGACAAACACGACCGAACCCTGGCTTGGTTACCCCAGGGTTGGTTCTGACTCATGCACTAAGGATACGACCCCAGAGTCAGCTAGATGCAGAGAACCTGTGAGGATTACAAACACGTCTGAACCCTGGCTTGCTTTACCCCAGGGTCCGTTCTGAGACATGCGCATTAAACCACGAGTCGTGCCCGTTAACGCGCCACGATTTTAGGAAATGTACGGGTCCCTACAGGAGCGCCCAAATTCATCCGACTAGAAACGTTTCTACTCTTTTTTCCCGCGGTCGATAGCTGGGCCAAATACTGGTGGTTTAAGGATTCGAACCCAGAGTTCAGCTCACACATGCGCTAAGGATCCGAACCCAAATACTGCGTTTAAAAAAAAAAAAAAAAAAAAAAAAAAAAAAAGGATCCCGAACCCGGAGTCAGCACAATGACACATAGCAGGCCCTTACAACTTACACGTAGTACTCTAGACCTTCACCCACTCAGACCTTCTTCAATCGGCTAAGGATCCCAACCCAGAGTCAGCCCCTTTTTTTTTTTTTTTGAGTCAGCCCATTTTCACTAAGGATCCCAACCCAGCGCTAAGGGGGGACTCGAAACCAGAGTCAGCCCACACATGCGCTAAGGATCCCAACCCAGAGTCGGCCCATTTTCACTCACTCCGACCTTCATCCATCGGCAAAAGACATTCCTTGAGAAACATCTTAGGCCCTCGATCCGCTCTACTCACCAGATGCACAAGAGAGAAATTATCGCCGTGTACCTTTCCATGATCTAGCGGAAGGTTCATCCTCATTTTGCACATTTCGTTAGTAGAGTGAAGCGAGGCCCTTGGTTTCAACTTTCCATTAAACACATCGCAAGTTCATTACATTGTCAACCAAAAAAAAAAAAGAAAAAAAAAAAGAAGGTTCATTACATTATCAACATTCCAACGAAAACATCGCAAATCATTATCGAAAATTCAAAATGACAGGTAGAAAAAATCAAATCGTTTTTTTTTTTCCCTTTTTTTTTTTATGAAGGCGCTTAGGCGCTAGACCCTAACATTATTGCATCATCAGATTTTTTACATCAGGATTCGAACTCGTGACCTGTTCGTCAACACAGTAACCTGTGTACCACTGACCCACATGGGCTGGGAAATTAGATTTTTTTTATTTTTTATTTTTGAATTAGTTTTCTGAACTCGACGTAAAATTGGATTGGGGTTAAAGAAAAAAAAAGAAAAAGGAAATATTGGTGGCTTGTATGTCAGCTGCTCAGGGCATACTCACACTAGGACGTTTACACTTGTTTCTGGACTTAATTGAGGTCAGGTACATCCAAGTGGGACCGTAATTACATTCAGATACAGTCAAGATTGTGCCAGGGTGAGTACGCTCTCAGAGTTGAGAAATAATTTCCACAGAAGGCGGAAGTAAGACCAGAGACACTTACAAAAAAAAAAAAAAAAAAAAAA